ATGTCATGCCTCCATCGCTTCCCATCCTCCTCCTACCCATGAGAAATTCCGTAGTGACTGACTTTTTAACACAAATCCATGCTGGACCCTGCCTTGTAACCAGCAAACGAGAGAACGTCTTTTCTGGCTCAACCACACCTACCTCAGAGCCCTGTTTGCCCAGGAAGTCAGATCCAGACAAGTCTGAGCTCTGCTGAATTCTGAGACCGAGCCACCGGAATTCTGGACTCAGCCTGCACTGGGGTTTGTTGCCAAGTCCTGAACAAGTGGCAGAAGAAAGCACTGTACCCCCGCTGCTAGAGACAATGGTGCTTTTGCAGGAGGCAAAGATGCTGATGTCACTGGTATGGGATAACGGCTTTTCTGCCAGGGACATGGGGTGTGCCCTGCGCTCTAGGACCTGGATTTCTGGACTCCCAACCTGCAGCCACTTTGACCACAATAGAGTACCTGCGCGGGCTTATCAGAAGACAAAGGGCCTGGTTGGTAAATTCCCAGCCAATGAGATGGAGCTGGAGCTCTCTCCCGCAGCCAATGAGAGATGTTCTCTGAGTTGTTAGGCAGAAAAGAGTCTAACATGGGTCATGTCCTCACCGGTCCTCAGCTAAAGTTCCCTGCCTGTCTCCTTCACATTCAAATGTGCATCCAGTCCCATGAGTAACCACATTATTTTTAAACAGCATCTTCAGCCAGTCTCTCCTGTTCGTTGTTGTTTCAAAGAGGTGGTTCTCTGTGAAGCCGGGATGGAGCTCTCCATTACTTAAAACATCTCCAAGGATGACAGGGAGAGGAGCTTGGCCAACAAGTAATGCTGCCGCAGGGCCTAGACCAAAGAATCGATGAGGTGGCACAGACAGCTGGGAGGGTCAGGACCTGAGGGCAGAGAGAAGTAAGCTGAGTCCTAGGCTCCCATTTTGCCAGGACTCCTTACGCAGAATAAACGCTCAACTCTGAGAAGACCTTATTTATATCCACCAACCATTTGCCCCTGTTCCTTTGGTTGTTTCTAGCTATTGCCACCCTGAACAACACCAGTCCATTCTCCTCAAAGTATGGCTTTGACCCTGGCTACATAGATACTCAGAGAATGTTTCCTGTGCTGAAATGTAAAACTATGTATTTTCAGTTAGCATACAAAGTGTCGGGTTTCACTATGGTGTTTCCATACTTGTCAGTCTTTGCATCTTGCCCACATTCCTCACTGTCCCTCCCTGGGCCTCCTCCTATCCCTCCTCTCCAACCTTGTGGCAATGTTATTAGACAATTCCAGCTCACACGCAGAGAGTGCTGCAGCTTGCGTTGCTCCTTGCAGCAGAGAACGTGGAGGTCTGAGTCTCCCAGCCTTGCTGGCTCTGGGAGCACAAAACTTGCCCATCTGCTGGTTTGGTGTACATATCGTAGGGGTGGCACATCTGAAATGGTCCTTTCTGCGGAGGACTGACTGCATCAGCCTTCAAGGTAGGTGACGTCCCCTTTGAGTCCAGGACAGAGTGTGACAGAGATGCAGAGTGAGCACTGAGCCTTAGCCTTGGAGCTCAGCATCCCAGAGACCTTGCACACCAAGCTTCTCTGTCTGCAGGGTAGTGGCATTAAATGAACAGGCGTGAGAAAAGAGAGTCTGAAACCCAGTAATAACTATTACTCAGGCTAACAATACAAGGCAGAGTGCCAGGGTCACAGAGATTTTGAGCCTGGAATAAAAGAGACTGGGGTTATCTCCCCCCCCTTTCTACCCCCTCCCCAAGGTTGCTTCATTTCTTTAAATGTTCCCAATACATTTGGATACCACCTACTAATTTACAGGTTTGGGGAGGTCCGTGTGGCATGTTGAATCGCAGTGCAGTGGTGCTGCGCTCTAGGCAGTGGAGGGTGCAGCAGCATCAGACAGTGATCGCTCAGCTCACGTCCATTACCCAGGCAGGTGCGGAGAAGGCTGGGGGGGGGGGGGGGAATGAGATTTGATGGTGGACAGACCTATCAGTGGTCTTGCTTCTGCCCCTCCCGAGCTGGCTGACCTTGAGCAAGGTCCTTACAGCTGTCTGAGAGACTCAGTTTCCTTGGTTGTAAAACACAGGCGATGCCAGTTAGCTCCCAGGGTTGCTGTGGGAAGGCAGCAATGAGACCACGTCACAGCTATCTCCTGTTAAATGTCCATGCACAACAGAAGCTCCACTGCCTGATCTCGGTGGGCCGAGGAGGGCAGGACGCCTCCGCAGAGGGGAGCAAAGGGCTGCCGCCAGCCCTCCCTTGCAGTCACACCCCCCACTGTGAAGAGGATGACTCAGCCGTTCTCGTTTACTGACCAGGAAGCACACTCATAATGGATGGTGTGTGTGTGTGTGGGGGGGCAGTGTCAGGATCCTAGATAATTACCTTTGTTATTTTGTTGTTGTTGGTTGTTGCTGTTGTTGTTACTTCTGGACAAAAAGTGAGGAAAAGCAAACTCATCCCCAGCTGTCTAGTGTGTTTGAAGCTTGACTCGGAAACTAGAAATGCTGTTCACTATCACCCCAGGCATCTCTGGGGGGATCTGGCTCCATTAACTTATGGCTCCTTCCTCAGCGCTGTCCCCCAACTTCTGCTCTGCATCATAAATGACAAATATTAGGCTATAATCATGGAAATAGGATTTCTGGGAAAAATGCCTGTGAATCATGTCCCCTCCCCCCCACCCCAACTCACAGAAAAGAAACAAGAAAATTCCAGTGAGTGTTCAATGTCCCTTTGCTCTGTTGCCAGGGTCTGCACTTTTGCAACCCCTCCCCCATCTCTCTCCACTCGGTCCCCTAGGGAGGAGTCCATAAAATTTCACATTATTAAGTCCTTAATAACAGTACTAGCATGGCTTCCACTCGCTCATTTTCCCGGGTTTTTAAAAATACCTCGTTCAAGTCAGCTAAGATTGGACTGTAGAACCACACCTGTAAAATACCATGACTCTAACTCCTCCTGCGTGCCACAAACAGTATCGCTACCTCTCCCCGTAGTAACCTGGAACCAGAGTCTCCTAACTCCTACTTTACTTAGCTTTTGCTAGCTAACCCTCAGAGAGGACGCCTCTCCATCCACAAGCTGGTCTGTCTCCGTGACTGCAACCCCCTGCCAGAGCTCTCAGAGGAGTCTCCGGCAGCATTTCATTCATTCTCATTTCAGGAAGAGCTGCAAGGTTAGTTTTAGTTAATTTCCCTCCAGGGTCAAGGGAATGTGTGTGTGTTGTGTAGAGCAGGGACGGTTAAGATGGAGTGTTTGGAAGCCCAGTCAAGGGTTCAGAGAAAGAAATCAATCACAGAAAACTGGACAAAACTTGCTGGACGCATGTCCTCAGACAATGTGCTCTTGACTCAGAGGACCAGCAAGCAAGCAGTGTTTACTTGAGAGGTCCCCCCTCCCTTAGCTTTGTGAATTGTGAATGACGTGATGTTTAAGAATACGAATACTAGACGCCAGGCAATGGTGGTGAACAAGAGGCAGGTGGATCTCTGTGAGTTCGAGGCCAGCCTGATCTTGCCAGGCTGAGTTTCAGGACAACGAGGGCTGTTGCACAGAGAAACCCCGGCTGGAAGAAGGAAGATGAAGAAGAGGAGGAGGAGGAGGAGGAGGAAGAAAAAAATACTAATTGTAATTGACAACATAAGTTTATACGACACACACACACACACACACACACACACACACAGAGAGAGAGAGAGAGAGAGAGAGAGAGAGAGAGAGAGAGAGAGAGAGAGAGGGAGAGTGCTCCCTGCAGAAGTAGGCAGTTTCCTGGTAGGTAGGGGAATTGACGAAGAGCCAGGAGGGAGGGGAAAAAAATCATCTTTCAGAGAATTCAAGTAATTGTCAGGTTTGCGAGAAGCCGTCTTTACAGTTTCCCGGTGTGTGCAGTGGGTAGACAGGACTTAAGGCCGTGGGGACAGCTCGATGCCCTCTGGCTTGTGAAGCACGGAAGAGGAGCTTGGCTGCCCGCATCCATGTCTGGAACACCGGGGAACCGCACCCCAGAAGGAGCTCGGGGCATCCACACCCCCGGTCTTTGCTCAGGTACTAGGAACTGCTGGACCAGGTGTTTCCTCCACGCATGTTAATCTGAGCCTGCAGCTGCCCTGTCTTCAAAGCCTCACTCTGTGGGTGTGCACAGCTGCGACCCTGGTGCACACAGGTGTCTGGCGCAGGCGGGCTCGGGGCAGTCAGTGAGCAGAGTCCGTGAACTTTGTCCTTCTCATTCTTTAAATGTCGACGGGAGTCAATAAATACGAATGAAACGTCTGCCTGGTTTTGTTTTTGTTCTCATGGTGTGGGGGGCGGTCTCAGTAGGTGAAAAGGAAAAAGAAATGAACCCACCGCAACCTCATCGGCTGCCTTTGGGACCCCCGAAGCGGCAGTTTGGAACTTCTGGGTCTGATAATCTCAGCCCCGAGATTGCTGTCCCACCCATCCACCCAGGGAAAAATGTGACGGGATCGGGTCCCTCCAAGTGGCACTGGCAGTGCTCCAGCCGCAGAAGGATGTCAAAGCCTGGGGCGCGCTTTGCGCTGGCGATGATCGCGGGGCTCAGTAGGTGCCGGCCAGGCTGTGCGCTCCGGAAAAAGCGACAGGGCTCGCGGAGGGTGACTAGCGGGCCGGCGTGCCACCCTCTCACGCGGGTGTCGCGCTGCGGAGCGCCTGGCTGGCCACCCCGGAGGGCTCGCGGTGACTGGCCGGCTGAGCGGCGTCCCAGCTCACTGCGCCTCGGGTGGGCAGGCGCAGCTGTTTCGATCACCCTGAGCGCTGCAGTTCCTGGGCTCCCCTCGGCTCCCGTGGGCCAGGAGACGCCCCCTGTCCCTGTCCTCCACCCCCCTCGGTAGCCGCACCAGCGGGAGCGGCGGGAGGAGGAGGAGGCGGCGCCGCGGGGACTGTCTCCTCCCCGTCCCTCGCGTCTCCTCCCCGCGCCACCGAGAAGGACAAGGGGACTGGGCACAAGGACCCCGGCCAGGGAGCTCCTGTGCTCCGGTACCGCCCCTCCCGTGCGCTCTTTCGCTGCGAGCCCCGGCCGGTGTCGCCGCGCATGGTACTGGCAGCAGCCATGAGCCAGGACGCGGATCCCAGCGGTCCGGAGCAACCCGACAGAGATGCCTGCGTTGTGCCTAGTGTTCAGGGGGGCCCTGCGCCCCAGGGCCAGCGAGGGATGCAGCCCCTGCCGCCACCGCCACCACCACCGCCACAGCCTCAAGCCAGCCTGCCTCAAATCATCCAAAAGTAAGAGGAAGAAGGGAGCAGGGCCTGGGTACGCCTGGGACACACCCCAGGGGTCCCCTTTTGTGGCTTCATTTTTCATTTCCTGCTAAACTTTGCTCGCCTCTCTGTGTTTGAAGTGTTGTTGGTCCTCTGGGCAGGGTCGGTGTCATTTTGGCTTTGCTGGTGAAATTAAATAGAAGGCAGTAAGTTATTCGGGGGGAAAATAATTTCTGTTTTTCTGTATGCTCTCTTTTCTTCTCTTTGGAATGTTACCGGATCTTTTTAACTAAATAAGCTCAAAGTTGGGGAAAATGGCCCAGAAACTCCTTTTCATCCTTCTGGTCCTTAGAGACCACTGGAATGTCAAGCGTGAGAGTGCGCTCCTAGCGAGAGATGTCGCCACTGAGGACAAAACCACCTTTAGTGGAGACAACTAGAGACTTTGGGGCAAAAGGGAGAGAAGGCCTGTGAAGGGCGCGCTTGGCTTTATCTAAGGGCAGGGCCCTTGCAGAGTCCTCAGCCGCAGAAGGGCGAACCTTGTCGTTTAGGTTGAGAATTTTTCTCGTCTGTTCATAGGCTGGGTGGTCAGGGGGTTCCAAACCTCTTAGTCTGTCTGGCGAGTGTGAAAGTAAGGCGCTGGCGTTCTGTTTTCTCCATTCCTTAAAAGTTTTGTTTTTGAAAGTTTGAGGCCTAGAATGTTGGATTATTTGAAGGCTCGTTATTTTGTTTAAGGTTTGGTCAGCCTGCGACAAAGTTCTGAAAAATGGTTTAAGAAAGAGTGCTTCCACAAAACCAGCCGGCACTCAACGCATGTAAATTCAGGAAAACCTGCATGGGGAGCCGAAGGTTTTTAGATTGGCTCTGCTGATGTTGGGGGTTATGTAAACTCATTGTGATGCTCTAAGAGGAACAACAAACGTGGTAATGTAAATGGAGGCAAATATGAATGAGTTTAAAAACCGAGTTACATAAGAGAAAGAGTAAAAATCCAAGTTTGCCATTAATAACGGTGGAGTCAGGTTTCAGGACAAAATGGTTCCCTGTCTGTCGGCTAGTCAAGTCCTAAAGTACTGTTTTGCCTAGAAAGCTTTGGACCTTCAACTTGGATATTTCACATGACTTTCAGCCGCTTGCAATCTGCAACTTTTCTCAAAGCGAAAATATTTCCTAACGTTGTTCTTCCCCCTTACTTTGCAAAGCGTTTCACCAAATCCTAACGATTCTGTGACTCTTTAACTGAAGATTTTCTTTATTTCAAGTTTCTCATCTGTCCTCGACATAAATATAAATCAACAGAGAAAAGCTATTTAAATCTAAAGTTTACTTCCTAAAACCTCCAAGTTGATCGGTTATCAATCTGAAACAACTTTCTCCGAGAGCTAGTGACTTGTATACTGAAATCAGCCTGCATGCTAAATTTATCAAAACTGCTTTGTTTTTGTAATCAGCCTGCATTTCCCCTCAGTTTGAAGTAGATAAAAACTCAGAACTTTGTATTCCCGGGGCGGGGAACAACTTCATAGATGGCTGTTTGAAGTATTACCAGGTAGAGAAAATAAAGTCAACTGTAGAAATGGATAATTTAACATATACTGTAGTTCCTTCATGTAGTTGATAATGTATATCATATATTTATTCCACCATTTGGGAAATGCTATCTCTGGAATATGTTGTTTTTGAAAGACAAGAGGGAACCTTTCAAAGATGGCCCCTTCTGCTTGTAGGCCAGCATGGAGTACCCATGACCTGGTGACAGATCTGTGTTCAGGGACAAGGTCCAAGGCGGGTGAATGTGCCCGTGGGATTTGATGTTCGTGCTCTTAGATTTCAGAGCTTTTCTTTATAGGGATGATTTGGGGTTTGCGTGTCCCTCTGTGCCCACAGAAATTCCGCTGGAACGGTGCGCCACACGGCGTGAGCTTTGCAGGCCCATCTGTAATGCGCTGAAACCTGAGTGGGCTATTTTGAAACTACGTTTGCATAATTTAATCTGGGCAACCATTTTTATGCTGTTCTGAGGCGCTGTTTGCACCAACCATCTTTGAGAAGGGTAGCGGATTGCCTGCCTTTGGATGAAAATGAGTTTTCTGTCCTCGAACTTGGAGGCATTTGTGAACTAAGTGAATCTTTTGACTTTTGTAGTTAGTTCAGTGAGGTCATTAAGTCTTCTCCAAGTTCCGCTCTCTTCCAAAATGAGGGAGACAGCAATCCTGAGCTGCGTGGCGTTTAGGGATTACGGGAATCTTTTCACCTTTCAGGTCTGCGTTGGTTGATTAGCAATGGTTTTCATTTTGAATGAGGTCAATCACACTGGTAAAACCGCGGAGAAGATGAAAACAGGTTTTGTTCTTATGCTTTATGTTGGGTCTTAGAGCTGCACTTAACTAAAGCAACACTTGAGATGTGGTGATGAATGACGGGCTCTATGGTTGTTTGTTTTCCTGGAGTCTTTGGGCCACTTGGGCAGGTTGCATCCCAGCGCGTCTGTGGAGGCCTTCTGTTGTGACCAGGTGTACGCGGTTCTCTTACTGTGTGTTCTTAGCTTTAGTTGAGTTACAGCCATGCCCTTGTTGCTCCTGTCTGTCCCTGACATGAGAAGTGTTACAATCTATCAGGCGGTTTACAATCACACCTAACTAGGATCTGAGGACATTCTGTTTTAAACATCAATCCTGCACGTTAGTCAATGTGGAACTGTCGTTGTATTACAGAAAGCACTACCTAAGCCCATCGGGAAACAAAAATATAAAAATTTCTTAAGAAAAGATTTGGGACGACTTTAGGAAATCAAAATAATTTGAAGACTAAAAAAAAAAGACATGGATTTATTTTTCATGTCAGCAGAAGAAAACGATGGTTTTTGGTGAATGTTTTTTATCAGCATTTATATTCTCAAATGTTGACACTTGTTGCTAGTTTACCTCCAAAATTTATTTTAATTGTGTGCTCTAAAATTGAAGATAATCTTTGATTTATAAGACATTATAAACATTATTGGACAACAGACATTTAAATTTTAGATTACAAATCTTTAAACTTCCATCAGAGCAAGGACGGAGCTGCGGTTGTGTGACATGTGAATGCCGGTGGACAGATGGGACTGCAAAAGCTCCGGCTAAGTCTAAGGAAATATACCAAATGCACATATGTTTATCAAGTAAATCACAAAGGTGATTTTCCTAAATTATTTGACTTGTTGCAAGATTTTCTTATTAATGTGAGGCATAAGACTGTGTGTCCGAGTGTGAATGAGCTACTTTCTACTTTCCGCGTCACATTCACAAGGAAATAAAACCAACTGGCTTAGCGTTTGATAGCTAGCGTCGCCAGCATGGGAGTGTTGCTTTGTGAAGACGGGGTCCAGCCTTGAATTCCACTTTAGTGTTTGCCTAGCGCTAGTCTGCCGCTCTCTGTGTTCCAAGGCTAAGAACTCAGAAAATGTTACAAGTAGCCGCTGCAATAGCAGACAATAGACAGCCTCCATTTTAAGGGAGCTCCATGTAACGTTTAGGGATACATGATCTGTAACCTTATGTGATACGGTTAGGGATACATGATCTGTAACCTTATGTGACATCCACCCACTTTGATGGGCCTGCTGATAATTCTGTCTACAACCAGGGGAGAAATTAAGAACTTGTTAAAAAGGGTTATGACCTCGGACGTATTTGGTCCTTTTCTGGAAAGAGGACGGAATTGCTAACACCTGTGGCGGTTTCTAGCATCCATGTGAGCTCATTTTCTAGGGGAAATCACAATACACTTGTAGAAGGAATTTTGGAAATTTTAAACACCATCTTAGACTACATGGAAGACAAGTATTTGGCAGGAAAAACATCTGTGAGGATTAAATCAGCCCAGGCAGGGGAGAGAGAGCAAAGGCTGAGTTAGCGCCTCAGAGTCCCTTCTTCTCCAGACAGCCTCTTCAAGGGATTGTTTTTAAATGAAATCTTACTGGAAAGCTCCCCTTCCCCCCTAAGTGCTTCTAGATAACACGGAGGGCTGTGTAGTTCTTAGTTTTTCTCAAATTGCCTAAGAGATCAGCATTATGAAACAGAACAGGATTTCCATTAGTCATGGTAAAGGACTGTACACATGGTACACACTGGCTGCTCAAATGCCCGTGCTGGGGGTGGGGGGAGCAGGAAAATTTGATTTTTGTCTTTAATTCTTCTATCCACCGCATCATTTATTGTCACTTTAGAAGTTTATAAAATGATTTAACTGGGGCTTCTTCTGTCCATTGGAAGGAAACTCTGGCTGGTTAAAAAATCTCTTCACCTGCCCCATTAGTCTAGGGTTGGGGGTTCTCAGCCAACATGGCAAATGACCCTACATTATCCATTTTCTCTCTCTCCCCTGATTTATTTTTCCTGTGGCTGTAATGTTCTTGATGGTAGTTTACATGGATTTCTCTTCCCTGGCCACATGGCCAATCCTCAAGCACACAAACCAATATGATTGCCATTTACAGCGTTGATAACACAAATACACAAACATGCTGGTAACCCGTTGGGTGTCATCAAGAGATAGGAATTAAAAGGGGCTACCCTGACTGTGGACACTAAAGCTAGGATAAGCCTGGGCCAGTGGTGTGGGAGATTTGCAAGGCAGACCCTAGGCAAGGGGTACTGTAGAGCCGGGGTTTTATTTCCCATCCTGTGGTGATCTTGTTGGGGATGGCCTGACTGACGTTATTTTGTAGATTTTAACAAAGTTTCTATAGCTCCATTTCGGGTCGAAGGGGCTGCTGGGAGAATCTGAGTGATGAGAAGTTTTCCCGAAAGTAAAACGATCTACAATACAGGATTAGAGCAAAGACAATAATGAACAGTCAGCTGGAAACAGCATGTGGCATTTCCTCCCCAGTTAATGAACAGGGGTGATCTTGGTACCAAATATGCCACCATGCCTCATGTGGCCTGTTCCCACCTGTCACCGGCAGGGACTTCCTGATTTTAATTAAGAAGCACATTTTTGAATCTGGAATGCACACTGGATTTCCAGGCTACTGGTGGGCT